CTCTCTGCTCCTATGATGCTGCTTGGCCTGCTGTGTTCATCCAGCCCTGCACCTTGTTGTCTCCAGGTAAAATGCTTCATTTTCCACTTTGCTGTGCTACACAATGTCGATGTCATGAATTAATTCTTTAACTTGAGACATTGGTCAAATGATGTCTGTTCTCCAGTGATCTTACATCAGCCCCCACCTCTCTCCAACACAGCCTCGTAATAGGAGATCTTAATATACATATTGACTGTGAAAAACCATTTGTGCAAAAGTAACCTGCAGGAGGAGTTCACAGGATGTTTTAAAGATAGTACCTGAGAACAGTATGTTCTGCAGATGACCATATATAACGGATATGGTATTATGTCATGAGATTGGATTGACTAATGATCCCATATTTAAGACAACATAAGGTAGTAGCGACTATAATATAATTGAATATTAAATTTAATATGGGGGAGAGAGGAGTAGGTCCGAGACAATATTTTTCAAACTTGAATTCAGCATGATCATGATCAGGTGAAAGCAGAACTGTCTCATAGAACTGGCAGATGAAGTGGAAGGAGAGGTCAATAGAGACACATTAGCAATATTTAATGGGTATTTCAGAATTTACAGAACACATACATTCCAATGAACAGAAACAAATCCAAGGCCACATATATAATTGTGCAATGATCAGGTAGTATTTCAGAATATAAAATGGAACAGAAAATAATGACTTCAAGATGAAGAAGGGAGCAATCTTCAAATCAGAAATAAAGTTTACCAGAAATGTAAAAACAGATACTTAGAGTTTTTATAGATATTAAAAAAGAAAAGAGTTAACACAGTCAGTGTTAGTCCAATAGAAAAGCAGACTGGAGAATTAATGAAGGAAAATAAGGAAATAGCTGATGAATGGAGCAGGTACTTTTCAGGATTCTGCATGATCGAGGATTCAAATAAAATTCCAGAAGCATCGATGGATAAGGAAATGGAAATGTGTGAGGAAATCAGGAAAATCACAATCAACAGAATTCTAAATGAGTAAATTGTTGGATCTGTAACCTGATGACAACCCAAACTTCAGCCTGGGCTGTTAAAACAAGTTGCTGGTGAGATCGTAGGTCTATCAGATTTAACTTCCCAAACCTCCCTTAATTAAGGGATGGTCTCATTTGAATGGATAACAGCAAATGTAACTTCATTCAAAAAGAGAGGGTGACAGAAACAAGTGACTACAGAACAATGAATGTGACCTCTATCACAGGGAAATGATAGAGACTATTCATAAATTGGTTACAGTGTGACACTTGGATAAGTTCAAAGTAATAAAACAGAATAAAAATATTTATTCTGAAAGGAAAATCTCATTTGACCAATTTATGGGAGCTTTTTGAGGGAATAACAAGTGCTGTGGATACCTGGGAGCCGGTGGTTTATACTGTACTTATATATTGAGAAGGTGCTTTGTGTAATGCCGCATCAAGGGTTAATGTGGAAAATATAAATTCATGCTGCAGTGGTCTAATATTGGTTTTGGTTAGAAGACTGGTTGCCTAACAGGAAGCAGGCAACAGAGGTAAGTATGTATTTTTAAGATTGACAAGATGCAATGAGTAGAGTGCTGTAGGAAATGGTGCAGATACCTTAACCACTTAGAAATTCTATAAATGACTTAGATGAGGTGAAAGAAGCGATAGTTATCAATTTTGCTGAAAACACAAAGAAAACCAAGAAAGTAAGTTATGAGGAGGAGAAAATAATCTAGCAAAAGTATATTGATTGGTAAACTAAGTGGGAACAAATGTGGCAAATCAATTATAACGTGGGGAGTTGTCCATTTTGACAGGGAGAATAAAAAAGAAGCATATCATCTGAATGGTGATATATTGCAAAATTCTGAGATGCAGTGGGACCTGGCTGTCCTTGTGCATGAATCACAAAAAGGCTAGTGTACAGGTACACCAAGTAATCAGGAAAGGGAATGGAATGTTACAATTTATCATGAGCAGAACTGAATACAAAGGTAGGTACATTCGGCTTCAGTTATAAAAGACTCCAGTGAGACAGAATCTAGATGACTGGACATAGCATTGGTCACCTTAATAAAAGGAAGAATATTATTGTGATGGACGCAGTTCAGGGGAAAGTTCATGACCCAACACCAGGGATGGAATGTTTTGGCTGGCCAGGCTTGTTTCCAGTGGATCATCAAAGATTCATTAGTGAATTCATGGAAACAGACAAAATCCTGAGGGGATGAATTGGTAGCAGAGGTAGATTCTTGTTAACTGTGGGGTTCAAAGATTATCAGAAGTGGGAAAGAATTTCATTTTGAGGTTACAGTTTGATCAGTCATGGTCTTATTAAAAAGCATTGAATTCTTGATGGATGGAATGTCTTAGTCCTGCACCTGTTCACAAATATAGCAAGCGATGCAGTTTTATTCACATTGATCATTTTAAAGTCAGAGCTGGGGCATGGAAAATTGGTGTTGGAAAGCTGTTGTCTGCACAACTGTGTTTTTGTTTTTGGGGGGAGGGCCATGTCGAGAGGCAATGGAAAACCTTGTTTCATTTCTGTGAAATGGAAGTAAGCCTGTGGCCACAGGTGACTGGGAAGACAGAGGCTTGTTTATGAAACAGACACAGGGTTGTGGAATTTCAGCTCGTAGCAGGATCAGAAAGTGTACATTAAAATAAAGGAAGAACTGCAGGTACTGAAAAACTGAAATTGTTGGAGAAACTCGGCAGGTCTGGCTGCATCTGCGGAGAGAGAAACAGAGTTAAAGTTTTGGGTCCGGAATGACTTCTCCAGAACTAGACTCGAAACGTTAACTGTGTTTCTCTCTCCAAAGATGTAGCCAGACCTGCCGAGTTTATCCAGCAATTTCTGTCTTTCTTCCAGTAAAAGTGCCGATTGTTTGTGGAGATTGGAGTGACCCTGAGAAAGCTGAGGAAGAACGGCGTGGCACGTCAGCAGAAAAAGCAATCAACATCACAGCTCTGGGAGTAGAACTGAGAGGGATAACGTTTTTGGGAGAGTTTCATTTCCTTGTTATAGGAAAAGTTTTAGATTATGAAAAGTAAATATTCTCCATCTTTTGTTTTGTGGTTGCTTGCGAAGTTGAAATCGTTTTGTTTTCAAAATATTGATCTCCACGGATGGAAACAACACTGAGCATCATAATAAACCAACAGCTGCTGAATTAATAATGTGGGATACATCCTAGAGAGTGCCTGCCATAAACTCACTGATATATTTATCATTTTCACCTATTGTAAACTGTCGTGGGCGGGAAAGCACTGTGACAATGATGAGGTGACCTTCCTGTACATTCAAGGGTATAGCCCCTATTTAAATTTGGAACGAACTATTCCTATGCACAGTCAGTGGACATTGTGTAAAGACTGATTCACCTAAAAAAAAAGTGAAGCCAACACGCCCAGCAACACCACCCCTAATCCCAATTCATTGCTACCTGCTCGTTGTCTAAGGTGCTTTGAGATTGGAGATCCATTCTGATTCCCAGTCAGTGTTACTATCTGTCATATTGAAATAATGTTCAGGTTAAGGACCTGAATACATTTGACTATTTTAGGGACTGATTATTCTGAAATCTTAAATCAGACACTAATTCATGGGTTATTCGTTGTGGAAAAGACGCTGATTCCTGTGTAACAATGTCATCGTTAAGGCTGAAGAACCGTTAAATTCCGAGTAAAGTTCCATATTCCAACTTCATATTTCGAGCTGCTCTCTCATTGAAGAGAGACGACTGATGGTAGTTTAACTTGACAGTCACCGCGCCTCAGGCAAGGGCTCGAACATTTTACAGTAACTTCAGCTGTTGTGGGAATGGAACCCATAGTGTTAGTGTTAGTCTGTATCAGAAACCAACCATCCAGCCAACTGAACTAACCGACACCTGAAACAAATCAAATGGCAAGTAAAAAAGCTGGGTACAACATCTAAGAATGAAGATGTTTAGACCAGACACTCACACTTAACCTGCAAGATGAGAGTTTCAGAAGAGGAGATTTGGAAGCTGTCACTTGTAATTGTACATTTGAGCATTGTCCCATGATTGACAGCTGATGGAATTAATGTTAGCACGGATGAAACTGTCCGAGACCCTGAACTTTCATCGATTATTTCACCTGCTTCTTCGACGTCCAATTGAAGAGGAATTGACAGGTTGTGATACGTCCATTTCAATTGTAGACTGCCATTGGGGCAGTTCTGAGTTATTGAACAGTTCAATCGTAAAATTCGCCCTGCAATAATTTCTCCAACACGTGCAATTGTTGGCTTTTCTGTAAGTGAAGCAGGAAAGGTCTGTTAGAATGATTTGTCATTTCCAAGGTGAAAGAGGTTATTTTCAACTGCATCAATTTTTTGAACGAATCTGCGGTCTTTATTTTCTGACATATGTTGTAAGGAACTTGCTATTCTAAACAATTCCTCAGAGATATATCGGAGCATCATGGACCTTTATTATACGGCCTACAACATTAATTCCTGTTTACTTTCATCGTACGAGGTAAGCAAATCATCATTATTCTGTTTAGAGTAATGTCCACTGGTCTCTTGCAAATGATCCTGTCCCTCTTTTTTAACAACAACTTGAGATCTGAGTTCTGATGGAGGGTCCTTGTCCAGAACCGTTAACTCTGTTTATCTCTCAACAGATGCTGCCGGCCTGTTGAGTTTCTCCAGCAATTTCTGTTCTTCTTCCAGATCTCCAGAAACCGCTGTTCTTTGTTTTATTTGATTTAGTCTGGGAAATTAGGATAATTAGCAATTTGGAATAACGAGTATTCAACCTGAAGTACTTGAACTAGAACCTAAAACAAATTACAAGCAAACTCACCTAAAACAGAGATATCGATCTCAGAATGTTCAGTGACATTGACTTCTGAAACGAATACCAAAATGACTTGATATGTTCCCTGATCACTCCTCCTGGTATCATTTATGAGAAGGGAGCACTGTCTTTTTCCCAAGTTGCCAGCAAACACAACTCTCCCAGTATAGTTAATATGTTCTCTGCTTGGATGTTCTGAATCATAAAGCACCGAGGCGCTGGGGTTCACAGCATCAACAGCCTTCTTTATCCAAATCGCTATTAGGTAGGTGTCATTTATCGCATTATCAAAAGTACACTGGATTTCTACACATCCACCAACTACTGTCAACACATGTTTTGGCAGTATTACAGAACACTGACCACCAGAAATACCTTAGAAATAAAAAAAATGCCTTTAGTTCAATGATTTTTTTAAAAAGGATTGTAATTCCTTAAACAGATTTCAGTCTTAAAAATCACAATCACTATTGAAATACCAGGTAAGATGTTTTGCAAAACCATTCCACAATAACAAGGATGGTTAGTGAACTATTCATTCATGCATCAACACCATATCCGTTTCATAAACTGACTCTATGCACGCTTAAAACTCAACAATATGCATACCCATTAAAAATCAAATGCTGCAATATTCACTGAAGTTCATGACAAGCCAATAAAAATACAACAGAAAAAACATTAAATACACCTCAAATAATTTCAAACATTAATTTCAATGCTAGTTATTATGTAATACAGCAAATGGTGCATAGAAATGAAAAGGCCAATAATGATTATTTTCCTCGACTAAACAAAAGCATCGAGTAATATAACTGCTCAGTCCACTTTTACATTCAGGAAATGCCCTATCTCTTTGTATTAACACAACGTATTAATGAAATCTGTCTAAGACAATGTCCTGAACAAAAACAGTTATAGCTGCTGAACCTCAGCAGGTCTGTGGAGAGAGAAACAGAGTTAATGTTTAGATTTTAAAACTTGGCTCGAAGGTAGGAGACAGAGGGTGGTGGTGCAGGGTTGCTTTTCAGACTGGAGACCTGTTCCCAGCATTCTGCCACAAGGATCTGTGCTGGGTCCACTGCTTTTTGTCATTTATGTAAATGATTTGGATATGAATATAAGAGCATGGTTAGTAAGTTTGCGGATGACACCAAAATGGTAGTGGCCTGGACAGTGAAGAGTACAACCTTAGTGTACAAAGGCAAATCAAGACAGGACTTAATGGTAAAGTCCTGGGGAGTGTTGCCGAACAGAGACCTTGACGTGCAGGTTCATAGTTCCTTGAAAGTGGAGACACAGTCAGACAGGATAGTGAAGAAGGCGTTTGGTATGCTTGCCTTTATTGGTCAGTGAATTGAGTTGGGAGGTCATGTTGCAGCTATACAGGACATTAGTGAGGCCACGTTTGGAATGCTGCATTCATTTCTAATCTCCCTGCTATAAGAAAGATGTGTAACTTGAAAGGGATCAGAAAATATTGACAAGGGTGTTCCAGAGTTAGAGGGTTTGAGCTATAAGGAGAGGCTGAATAGGCTGGGACTATCTTCCCCGGAGCGTCGGAGGCTGACGGGTGAATGTATCGAGGCTTATAAAAACATGAGGGGAACAGGTAGGTGAATAGTCAAGGCCTCTTGCTCAGGGTAGGGGAGTCCAAATCTAGAGGCCATAGGTTTAAGGTGAGAGAGGAAGGATTTAAAAGGAACCTAAGGGGCAACTTTTTCACACAGAGGGTGGTGCGTGTATGGAATGAGCTGCCAGAGAAAGTGGAGGAGGCTGGTACAATTACAACATTTAAAAGGCATCTGGATGGACATATGATGAGGAAGGGTTTAGAGGGATATGGGCCAAATGATGGCAAATTGGACTAGATTAATTTAGAATATCTGGTCAGCATGGACAAGTTGGACTGAAGGGTCTGTTTACGTGCTGTACATCTCTATGACTCTCTCAGCCCAGTGACCCTTCTTCCGAACGGAACAATATTCTGTTCTATTCCTAGAAGATTTCCACGTCAGTGGAAATTTCTAAAAGGTAAGAAACATACCTTCTGCCAATATCAGGAGAGAAACGAACATCCAACTCCACATGACTGGAAAATGGGGCCGATTTCACTGAAAATAGAAAGAAACTATTTCACAACCAGCCAAAAACGGAAAGAACTGCGGATGCTGTAAATCAGGAACAAAAACAAAGTTGCTGGAAAAGCTCAGCAGGTGTGGCAGCATCTGTGTAGAAAAAATCAGAGTTACCATTTCGGGGCCGGTGACCCTTCCTCAGAACTATGTTCTCTGATTTTTTTTTTCTTCACAGACCTGCTGAGCTTTTCCAGCAACTTTGTTTTTATTTCACAACCAGCACCATGGTGCATTCTCCCCGGCATTGTCATCTGGGATTTCATCGGGAATCAGTATCAGATCTCCTGGCTGGCAAGAAATCGATCCCTTCCTACAACATTTATCCACGTAGCTTCTTGGTGAGGTAGGCAATTTGCAACTCCTCTGCAAAAGATACCGTGCTGCGAAATATGTTGTTCTTGCAAGTTGAACAAATCCAAAGGTACACAACATGAAAAGAACAAAATAAAACAAAGAACTGCAGATGCTGGAGATCTGAATAATAATAAACATAATCATCGAGCTGAGGATTATCTGTGTTTTATACAATTCGTCAGAACTTCCTTGGTGTAGTTCTATAAACTCTAATTTATAAAGCCCACGATCCTTTATGTTTTGATAACCGTGTTCTCAATATGACCTGCCACTTGTAACGAATTTAGTTGATATGTTGACAAATTCCTTTGATTCTGTCAATAAAACTGTGGAGGCTGGAAATCTGAAACAAAAACAGCAGTTGCTGGAGAAACTCAGCTGGTGTAGCAGCATCTGTGGAGAGAGAGAGAAACAGTGGTAACCCTTCTTCAGAAGCGGCACTGGACTCGAAACGTGAACTGTGCTTCCCTCTCCACCGAAACTGCCAGACGGGCTTTGCTTCTAACTGCGCTGTAGAACTGTTCCTTTATTGATTCCCTTCGTATTTTCTGACTAAAAGGAAACACTTTGCACCTTCATGTATGAAATTCTATCCGTCCATCTAACCAACTAGTCTTCCAGATTTTCTGTGTCTTTTTCCTTTTAACGTTGTCAGGTTAACAGTTCACAAGATATCCAATGATGTTTTACTTCGCTGTTTTGCGGTATTGCACTGCTCCCACCTCTGGAATTCATCAATATACCTCAAATTATTCAGAGACCCACACAACAACCATGAAAACCTCGAGAGTTTCCCTCGTTCAAAAAATACAATATTCACCACGACTTTCTGCTTCTTGGCACTTAGTTTCTTCCATCCAATTCTACAGCTGTCCCTTTATTGTATGAGATTTAATCGACAGATAAGTCTACTGTGTGGAATGTTATCATATGCTTTATGAAGATTCATAACGTGTTTTCTTTTGCAAACATCAAAACTTCATTTTTTTTCAATTAAGTCAATGTAGATTTTAGTGAAAATTGATTTGCCCCATGTAATTTTAGTCTTGATCTCCATGAAATGTACCAAAATAACTGTTACTGTTATCCCTGGTTATTAATTCTGACGATTGTCCATCAGCAACATTATAGCAGCGAGACAACAGTTGCTGCTCATATTGTTGCAACTTTTTTTTGGATCAATGGTGTAGAAGCTGCAATTCTCTGTTAACCGGCAGCGCCTCAAAATCTTAAAATGATTTTTTTAAAAGAAAATAGTCAGTCTCGTTTCCCTCCTGCTCTATTTAACTGTGTCCTTAGAGCCTCAGAAGTGGCATTATACACCTCAAGAGCAGGTGGGATTTGAACCGGGCTCCTGATCTTCAGGAAAGGACACTACCACTGCGCCACAACATCCTTAGCTCTGCAGGATAGATATTCTCCTAACCAACCCTTCCAGAGATGTTACTACAGACCTCGGGAACAGATGGGACTTGAACTTGGACCTTCTGGGGCAGAATTCAAGCACCACTCCTGCACCACAAGAGCCCTCTCCAGCCTTGGAGTCTTCTAAAGCAAGAAAAATAATTCATTGTGAAATGAGGAAGCTACTGATGCGTTTGACAGAAACAACATAAAACAAGCATGACACTGTGTCACAAGGAGATACTGGCCCAGATGACCAATAATTAAAACAAAGAGGTAGAGTCTCAGAAGTATGTTAAAGGAGATGTCGCGAGCAAAACACAGTTCACAGAGTTTGATGTCTAGTCAAAGAGGACGTGGTAAATGATGGTGGATCAATTGATATTGGAAATTCACACCGTGACAGAATTAATGTAGCACAGTTACCCCTGAGGTCCTCTGGATTGGAACTGAAACTTGGACGAGAAAAAAAATATGGAAGAATTGGAGAATAATATTAGAATGATAAGATCCAGGCACTGCATGACCCAAACCCAACGTAGATCAAAAAGCACAGGTGGAAGTGGAAATCGCAGTTGCAACCAGCAAAGGCAATGACACCAGAGGGGAGAAGGTGGGAGAGAAGCCAGGTTTGCTTTGCAAGAAGTAAGTTCAAAAGAGGCAGCGATAAGGCATTACCCAGCAGACGGGCCACCGAAGGATTTAAAGGAAGCAATATGATTGATTTCAAGATGTTAAGTTTCTGATCAAACACCAACATGAGGTTCAAAAGAATTGATGGAAAAACTCAGCAGTTCTGGCAGCATCTGTGGGAAGAAAACAGAGCTAATGTTTCGGGTCCAGTGACGCTTCTACAGAACTTGAGTCGAAACATTAATTATGCTTTCTCTCCACACATGCTGCCAGACCCGATGAGGTTTTCCAGAGATTTCTGCTTTTTTTTCCTGATATTCCAGCACCCGCCCTTTGTTTCTTTTTACCAACATGAGGTTAGACCCTTATCTCAGTCTCAGACAGGACACTATGTAGATACATGGCCCCCATCTTCTGAACTGTGACATTGACTGAGTTAGTAGTTCATGAACCAAGTGCTGATAACAGACTCGTTGAATGGCACTAGTTCTTCCCAACATGACCAGACCTGTGTCTCTCACAGAAAATTTACAATTGGACAACGATTAACCGTCAGCTGACATAGTGTTTTGTCTGCACTATCCCCAATAGACATGATCTGCAATCAGCTCCATTTCCACTGCAAAGACATCAAATACAAAATACCTTTGCGGTGGACTTCCAACTTCCCGTAAGCTATTCCACCGAATCGCCCAAACACCCTCATATTCTTCCTAAAATGTAGTTAGCAGAACCAAAGACTACTATGTAGAAACAGCTGAAGCTGATATTTACAGAGTTTCAGCAGAAGTTTTCTGTTTCTGTCCTGAACAACTATGTGTCTAAAACCTATGTATTTCATCAACTGCTCTCGACATGCCCTCACACATTTGTCTTTCCATGGAATTTGCACGCATTTTGGAACTACGGTACTATAATCTAACATTGCCCCTTCCCATCACTTCGAAATTCCTTGAATTACACCTCACTATATTAAATGCATCTCTCCGTGATTCTGACTTTGCTGCCATTTCAGTCCGGCCTGAACTACTCAATCACTAATTAAAAAGAAATGCTCTTACATATATAACACAACACTGGGCCAACAGAAATGAAAATGACCCATGTTGAAACAATATTTGTGTAGGAAGCAAAACGGGATAACACTGTGACATTCATAATGAACGAGTTTTAGCGAGAACAGTTCATGCTAATACATGATGGGATTTAATTTTCTCATTTCTCACAAGTCATTAATCAGATCCAGTAAAATTTTGCTGACAAAAGAAAGCCTTACCTCCAGGTCAATGAAGGAACAAACATTAACTTCAGAAACTGAACAAGACCAGGAAAGGGAAAGTCCTAATGGACCTGAGGGCTGCTCTCTCATGAAGGAGATAGAGACCAGCGATGGTGTTTAACCTGAGGGAGACCATGCCTCAGGGGAGGGCAGAGTTTGAGAGAATCCTGGATGGTCGCTTTTGTCAGGGTGAGAATTGCACCTGCGCTGTTGGTGTTAAATGGCAAACCAGGCATCCAGCCACATCGTCTAATCAACCCTCAGGCTGCCAGAGAAACACCGTTACTGAAGGAACAGGATAGAGGTTGGGACTACTCTGCAAGGTAATTTATGTCTTGACCACTCAAATCCACATCACCAGCACCAAGTCAGGAATGTGATGGAATAGTCTCCCATTCTCTGGACGAGCGTGACTTTAACAACTTCCAGGAAACACAAACCCATCCAGAACACAGCCTCATGCTTTACTGCTACCACATCCACCACCTTCAGCATTCAATCCCTCCACCACTGATACAAGAGTGTGTACCTTTTACTAAACACAATTCAGGAAGTCTGGGAGAGCGGGATCCAGACTTTGGCCTGCCCCACCTAGATGTAAATTTACGATTAGAATTAGGTTTATTGTCACGTCAATGTACAGGGGAACTCGGTTACCTGAAAATTTTCCACTAAACCCCCATCCAGCGTTGGAATGTTCCTCAGTATCAACTTAAAACTCCCCATCAGCAGCAGGGTAGCTGCGACTTCAACACATGGATAATAATGTTGGAGAAAGAGTGAACACAGCAAGACTCAGTACCCTGAACGAAAGCTCTGGGGTTTTTAAAGAAAAATCTACACAGGGGTGTAAAATACTCTGTTGTTGTGGAGAAGTTTCCTCCCAAGTAATAACATTCAGCTTTCTCTAGTCGGCTTGTTCCACATTTATTCAGCAGCGACTTACCGGAGAGGCTCCTTGTCTACAGAATGGGCAGGACCAACATCTAGTGATTCACCTTGTTACTGATTGGCATCTTGCATCTGTTGTCTGTTTGACAGACTGCTGTTAAATATGGGCTCATTGTATTTCGAGCTAATCGCAAATACAGCAACAGCAAACCTCAATCACCCTCATAGACATTGAAAGGTCCACGATGTCTGGCAATAGTCTCTTAGAATTTGGTTTAACCACACACGTTTCCCAGCGGCAGTGGTCTCTGACACATATTTCATATAAATCAAGCTTTCTGGCACCTACTGTGACTGAGTGTTAGGGTTATTGAACCTCAGTTGCTATCTTTTACAGGCAAATGGTTTCCTCACATTCACCAAACAATGCTGCTGTCCTCGTCTCTGACAACAAAGATCCGTTTGTCACTGAAGTGTTTAAAACCACAGGAAGATCATTATTTTGTCTTTAATTCTTTAAGGTTTCATTTCCACTCCGATATTATTTCCTGTCACGAAATGGTCCAAAAGTTTATCCTATTTGATTCGATGTGAGATCTTTTTTAAACAAAAAATAGGCAAATACCTTTGAAAGATAGACTGAGCGAAACATAAAAGTGTCCTGCACTGTTCAATGTAAAAATAGAGGTAATACATAATAGAATGTTCGAACATTTATGTCTATCTTTAGCAGGGAGTCATTTGAATTAGATGGACATATTATTGTTAAGATTTAACTCGATTGAGAATCAAATCGGTTTTTACCTGAAAGTAGGGACCTGAAAGAAAGCTGTTACTAAAGGTTTCCGGCAGTTATTCGAGTTTGTGCTGTTGCAGATTGGCTTTAACCCAAACGGCTTGTAACATGACCCACTGATTTAGGCTGTCCTCTGGTGCAATCAAACCAAGAATTGAGGGAGCTGGAAATCTGAAAGACAAACAGAAATTGCTGGAGAAACGCAGCATTTATAGAGAGAGAGAGGCATTCCGAGTCCAGTGAACTTCTGAAGAAGGGTCACTGGGGACTGGAAACGTTAACTCTGTCTTTCTCTCTACTTCCTTTTTTTTAGATATTGGGATGAGAGTGGCTACCCTCCAATCTATAGGAACTGTTGCAGAGTCTATAGAATCCTGAAAGTTGACCCACCAGCACATTTACTATTTCTCGGCCACATCATTAATTACTGTGGCATGTAGATTATCAGGTCCTGGGGATTTATTGGCCTTTAATCCATCAATTCGCCCAACACCATCTCCCTATTAATACTAATTTCCTTTAGTTTCTCCTTCTCACTAGACCCTACATGCCCCAGCATTTTTGGGACATTATTGATGGCCTCTTTTGTGAATTTAATTAGTTTGCCATCTCTTTGTTCCTGGTTATAACATCCCTGTTTCTGACTAAGTGACCTACATATGTTATTACTAATCTTTTTCCCTTCACATGCCTGTAGAAACTTTGGCAATCAGTTTGTATGTTCCTTGCGAGCTTACCCTTCTACTCAATTTCCTTCCTCTTCATCAATCCCTTGGTCATCCTTTGGTGAAACTGAAGCTGCTCCCAATCCTCAGGGCTGCTCCTTTTTTTGGTCATTTTGTATTTTTTTTTATTACTCATTCATGGGATGAGGCTGTCACTGGCTGTGTTAGCATTTATTGCCCATCCTTAATTGCCCAGAGAGCAGTTAAGAGTCAACCACATCGCCGTGCATCTGGAGTCACATGTAGGCCAGGCCAGGTGAGAAAAGACAGTTTCCCTCTGTAAAGGACATTAGTGAAATCAGACAGGGCTTTTTTTCCCCTAACAATTGATTCAGGGTCATCATCAATTCAAGATTTGTATTGAATTGAAATTCCACCATCTGCTGTGGCAGGATTTGAATGCAGTTCCCCAGAACATTACATGGGTCTCTGGATTAACAGCCCAGTAACAATACCACTAGGCCATTACCAATTTTGACAACATCTGGCAAAAACTTTCAAAAGTTGATTGGGAGAGGCCAGTCACATGTAAAGGGGCAGTTGGAAGGTGGGAGGCCTTCAAAAATGAGATAACGAGAGCACAGAGACAGTATGTTCCTGTTAGTGTGAAGAGCAAACCTGGTAGGCGTATGGGAATGTCGGATGACTAGTGAAATTGAGGCTCTGCTCAAGAAAAAGAAGGAGCTATATGTCAGATATAGACAGCTGGGATTGAGTGAATCCTTAGAGGAGTAAAGGCAGTAGGAGTATACTTAAGAGGGAAATCTGGAGGGCAAAAAGGGGAGGAGAGATAGCTTTGGCAAGTAGGGTTAAGGAGAATCCACAGTTTTGACAAATACATTCGGGTCGAAAGAGTAACTCAGAAGAGAATAGGGCCCGTTAAAAATCAACAAAGCCATCTATGTGTGGAACTGCAAGTGAGATATTAAACGAGTATTTTGTGTCGGTATTTACTGTGGAGAAGGATATGAAAGCCAGAGAATTTGCAGAAATAAATAGAGATATCTTGAAAAGTGCCTATGTTACAGAGGATGAGGTGCTGGTGGTCTTAAAATGTATAAAAATAAATAAATCCCCAGGACCTGATCAGGTGGTCCCCAGAACTTTGTGGAAGTAGGGAAGAGATTGCTGGGCCACTTGCTGAGATATTTGTATCATTGATAGCCAAGGGTGAGGTGTCAGAAGACTGAAGGTGGCCAGTGTGGTGCCATTATTTAAGAAAGTTGGAAAGGAAAAGCCAGAGAACTACAGACTAGTGAGCTTGACATCAGTGGTAAGTTGTTGTAGAGGGTTGTGATGGACAGGATTGATATGTATTTGGAAAGGCAAGGACTGATTAGTCAACATGCGTTTGTGCGTGGGAAATCGTGTCTCACTAACTTGATTGAGTTTTATGAAGAAGTGACAAAGAAGACTGATGAAGGTAGAGCTGTGGACATTTTCTATATGAACTTCAGTAAGGCATTTGACAAGGTTCTGCATGGCAGACTGGTTAGCAAGGTTAGGTCACAAGGAATCCAAGGAGAGCTAGCCATTTGGATACAAAACTGACTTGAAGGTAGGAGACAGAGATTGGCGGTGGAGGGTTATTTTTCAGAATGGAGGCTTGTGACCAGCCGTATGTTGCAAGGATCGGTGCTGGGTCCACTGCTTTTTGTCATTTATATAAATGATTTGGATGTGAATATTGGTGGTATGGTTAGTAAGTTTGCAGATGACATCAAAATTGGTGATGTAGTGGACAGTGAAGAAGGATATCTCAGAGTACAACGGGACCCTGATCAGATGAGAGGCAGATGGAAGTTAATTTAGATAATTGTGAGGTGTTGTATTTTGGGAAGGCAAATCAGGGCAGGACATGTACACTGAATGGTAGGGTCCTGGGGAGTGTTGCCGAACAAAGAGAGCTTGGAGTGCAGGCTCACAGTTCCCTGAAAGCAGAGCCACAGGTAGACAGGATAGTGAAGGTGTTTGGTACATTTGCCTTCATTGGTTAGTGTATTGTATAGGGTTTGGGAGGTCATGTTGCGGCTGTACAGGACATTGGTTAGGCCAATATAGGCCACTATAGGAAAGATGTTGTGAATCTTGAAAGGGTTCAGGAAAGACTTGCAAGGATGTTGCCAGGGTTGGAGTGTTGGAGCTATAAGGAGAGGCTGAATAGGCCGGGGCTATTTTCCCGGAACATCAGAGGCTGAGGGGTGACCTTACAGAGATTTATAAAATCATGAGGAGCATGGGTAGGGTGAATAGTCCAGGGTAGGGGAGTCTGAAACTAGAGGGGCATAGATTTAAGGTGAGAGGGGAAAGATATAAAACGGACCTAAGGGGCACTTTTTCACGCAGAGGGTGGTGTGTGTATGGAATGAGCTGCCAGAGGAAGTGGCGGAGGCTGGTCCAATTACAACATTTAAAAGGCATCTGGATGGATACATGAATAGGAAGGGTTTAGAGGGATATGGGCTAAATGCTGGCAAATGGGACGAGATTAATTTAGGATATCTGGTTGGCACGGACGAGTTGGACTGAAGGGTCTGTTTCCATGCTGTACATCTCTATGACTCTATGACTATATGATTTCACCAGAGCTAATATCCTTCCTCACTATTGCATTAATGTCCTCTCTAACCAGCCACACTCCCCCACCTCCTTTTCCTCTTTTCTGTATTCCCTCAAACCTGAAAACCCCTTGATATTCTGCAGCCATGTCTTCATAATCCCAACTATATCAGACCTGTTTATATCCATGTGCACGATTAACTCACCTATTTTATTGTGAATTCTCCGTGGATTTAGACAAGGCCTTAAGGCTTGTCTTCTGAATGGTTACAGCCTGATCTCAATATTTTGTCCTGATGCTTGAATCCAAATGTTCGAGCGGAATGACTAAATGAATCACGCCTACTCAAAGTCCACTTCAAGCATTAAAGAGCTGATTTGATTTACACCAGTGGCAAGAGAGCTTCTGACAGATCAGGAACTCATTCACTGAACAAAAGGAAAGACATAAACTTTTATACATTGGTTTTAGCCTATGCTTTAGCTGATACAAACCAATCGCATTATTCAGTTGAATCTACTCATGCTTGTATATTGAAAACTATAGTATATATAACGTGTGGCAACGATTGGTGGGGGTCTTATCTAAGGTGGGTCAGCCCATTCCCTTCCTTCCTGTGGTGAATGACAGCCTTTGAAGGAGCCTGAGGTGGGGAATCTTCTGTCAGTACATTCTTAAAAATGTTCCTTATCATGTTGTCCTTGTATAAACAAGAGCATCATGTTTGTTACTATGGAAACAGGACCTTTTGTGTACCTTGGATATATTACTTCTACAGATGCATAATTGTTCTAGCTCATAGTTTCACTTCGAATATCAAACTAAACAAGCTGCTGTTTCAGCTAAACTCTTCCCCAGCCACTTGATGTGAACTGAAAACCACTTTTAGCCATTTTATGTTACTTTCAGCCACTGGGCCACCCAAACACCTCTGCTTCTCACTTTTCCTATTTCACATTATGCTTCTGTTTTTGCCCTTGTTCTTGCTCTACTGTCTCCCTATCGGTGTTCCCATCTCCCTACTACTTTATACCCTACCCTACCACTTGAGTAAATGCATCCCCCAGTTCATGGTCTTAGCCAGCTGCCACGCTCCCATCCAGTTTGTACTGGTCCTACCTCCCCCAGAACTGCTCCCAATGCCCCAGGAATCTGAATACTTCTCCCTCACAACATCTCTTCAGCCATGTGTTCATGTGATAGATCCTGTTATTTCTACTCTGACTGGCACGTATTTGGTTTATTCTCTTGTGGGGTCTTGGCGTCGCTGGCTGGCCAGCATTTATTGCTCATCCCTAGTTGCCCTGGAGAGGGGAATCCTGAGATTATTACCATTAATGTCCAGTTTTTGAACTTGCTTTCTAGCTCCCCATATACTGTTTCCAGCAGCTCATCCTTTTTCTTACTGAAGTCGTTGGTTCCAATGTGTACCACAACCTCTGACTGTTCACCCTCCCCACTCCAGCCGCTCTGAGACATCCTTTATTCTAGCACCAGGGAGGCAGCACACCATCCTGGAGTCTCGTGTGCAGTGACGGAGACACTGTATTTGTTCCTTTTACAATCGAATCCCCTGTTACTATTGCCTTCCCACACTTTCCCTTCCTCTCCCTGTGCACCCAGCAGTGTGCACTGAATTTAGCTGCTGCTACTTTCCCCTGAGAGGCCATTCCCATCAGCAGTATCTAACATGGTCTATCCGCTTTTGCAGGAGAATGGCCACCGGGGTCTCCTGCAGAGCCTGTCTAGTCCCCTTCGTCAGTGTGGTGGTCACCCATTCCCTTGCTGCCTGTGGACTCATAGCCTGTGGTGTGGCCACTTCTCTGCACATGCTATCCACAATTCTCTCAGCTTCAC